ACACCCATCTTTGCTGGAGCAGGGAGGGGCTGGAGGGTGGATAGCAGCATGCCTCCACCTTCTGAACCCTGGGATGTGGGTGCACTGCAGGATGGAGGAGGGCATCACACTGCTCCTGATTCAGAGCAGTGGTTTGCTTTTGGGTCTGCTGCCTCTTAGGAGATGGCTGCTGTCTCTGGGCTGCTCAGCGTTTCTGAGCAGAGCTTTGCTGCCTCTGGAATAGCTCTGCTTTTTTATTGGTGTGTAAATACTTCGTCAGAGAACTGATTTTCCTACATTGGAGGTGAACATCCTATCTGTTTCGTGTGTCCTACAGTAAAGGACAGTAGTTTCTTCTCTTGCCTACTTTTATAGATGTAATTTATTTATCTGCTACCCATAAGGTTTTCTTCTCAGACAAGGTACTACAAAGGAAGCTAAGGTATACATTCACAGATATATTTAGCAATTACTTCCCCTTGTGGATGTTCTTAATGCTTTGAATAGCTTACCCTACTTCGACATGATGTAAGCTATCTGAAACAAGGGCATTTTTTTCCTGGTGAATTGACTATTTGCACAACTTGTAACAGTTTTAAAATATGTGTTTTTCCTGTTCAGTGGCTGAAATCAGAAATTCATTATAGACGCAGCTCTGCTCCTTGTATCAGATGTATCATTGTCCATAATTAAATGGATGCATTTGACTACAAAGATGTAATACAATTAAAGTTTCACGTGGTTGCCACTGCATATGCCATCTTTTCTTTCCAAATCTATTGCTAAGGTCAGTGTGAGGTATTTTCTTGTGTAAAACTGGTGAATTTTTGAAAACCTGAAAAGATCAAAATGAGACCTATTTAGATATCTCAGAGCAATTGAGAAGTAAAATTATGAACTATATATAAAGCGTCTGGCAATGGTAGAATTGAACTCTTAAAAATTTAAACCCACTAAGGGAGTACCTTGTGTTATGGTGGGATGGGTCATATGCTGTAACTTTTCTTACTGCTGACATGATTTGGAGACTGTTCTTACTGTTCTGATTTTGTGGAAATATTGCTGTATAGGCATACTTGTAACTTCTTCATAAATGAGCTGTACTCAGTTCTGTTACACTTGTGTAAATAATTTTTACTCAAGTTGTATTGCGGAAGCTGAGAAATGCCGACCCTGAACCTGCCCTTAGAATTTCCTCGGGGGAGTAGGGACTTTTTTTAAGATACAAGTTTCTGAGAAGGGAAATAAAGTTTCTTGCAGAAAGTTTGAGCTAACTGGCAGTACAGGAAAGATGAAAATGTAAACTCCAATATTGGGTCAAACCTGATTCTGCTAATATTTCACTTGCATTAGCTGAATGTAAAGACAACATTGGTCTTTAACTGATTTTGCTTACCACTGGCAGGGAAGGAAGTCTATAAAAAGGAACTAGTATTTTCTTACACAGACTTATGTCTTGAGGAAGAGAATAAATTAATGTAACATGGTTTTCTGTGAGGGTGCATATCTGCAACAATATGAGAATTTTTATTGCATATTTTAATAATTAAAAATGTTTGGTGGTTTTGTGTGTGTGTTTTTCTATGTTGTAATTTGAACAGGTTACAGTATCAGTTTTTAGTTCTGCCTTGTTGATTTGTTTAGGGTACCAGGTGATACCAGCCACTCTTAGGCCATGCCAGTGATGGGTTCTGTGGCTCTTGCTGTGCTGAGCTTCTGCTGTTGTGTTGAAAAGGCACTAAAATTATTTATTTAGGCTGGCTTAGGGTCAGCTACAAAAATTGAACATATTGTTGCCTTGGACAACTTTTTGGCGTTTTTTTCAACCAATAGTTTACATAAGGTAGCAGGAACGTTTGTTAGAATTTGGGCACTTGGAATATTTGCCCCTGCATGTGATTGAAATTTCCCTAAAATTATACCCATGAGAATGAACTTGCATAGGTAACAACAGGGAGAGAGCTAGACCTTGTGCTGGAGAGCCAGGGGCTTATTCTTCAGTGCCAGGTTTGCCAGAAGTGCAGTAAACAAATCACTTGAGCTTAAGTTCCTCATTTTCTTAGCTGTAAAATGGGGTCAATCCTGATTATTTTCTCCATATGCGAAATTCAGATTCGTTGGCATTTATGGTTTGTGTTGAGAAAATAAGTATATTTATGTATTTAATTTCATAAAATGTAAATAAAATGCCTACTTCTCTCTATCAATGTGAATTAATACTGGAATTGTAAAAAAATGCTAGAGAGAACTTGCCTATTAAAACATTGAAGCAGTGGCCTTTTGCTATTTTATTAAACAAGAATCAACCTAGATTGTTTTGAGTTAGCAGTATTTTTGTCTGCTTTTGTTATGAGATAAAACACCAAGTATTGACTTAACTTCACATTTCACAGGAGAAGAATTAAAAATTATCCCTGTGAAGGGTGACTATGGAGTTACTCTTTGAAATTCTAATTTAACACTTCAGTAATGGGTCAAGCCTGCTCTGAATCCTCTGTGGGATTATTTGATTTGCTGTCTGGTTAACCTCAAGGAAAATGGGATGTCTTTAAATTACTAGAGGTGCTAGCTATCACCTTATAATGGAACCAAAAGGGAAAATTTGTTGTTTTAAATTAGGATTGTGACCTGATGACTAAGGCCTTGTATGAATGGGGCTTAATTTTAAGATCTAACTTAAGGTTGAAATTGTAGGGTGGTAATTTGGAGGGTTTTTTTTGTTGTTTTTGTTGTTTTTTGGGATTGGGGTTTTTAGGGGAGGGTTTTTTGAGTTTGTTTTTTTTTGTGGGTTTTTTGGTTTTTTGCTTTTTTTTTTTTTTTTTTTAACTAACCATCAGCTTTCTAATTGGAGATTAATATAATTGAGGGGTAAGGGGAAAATGTCTTCTTTAACTGGTTGGGAGTTAGGGTTAGGGTTTTACTGTTTGTTTTGTCTTCAGTGTTATTTATGCATGGAGAAGTGAAGAAGTTTTTATTTTGTGTTTCTTCTATTTGCATAAATGTTTGTGCCCCAACAGGAAGAATCTGTATTTTTTTTCGTAATAAAATTGATTATGAAATTAAATTCATGTGACTGGAACTGAAGGGAGTTCTGCTTTTTATAAGTAGATAAAGAAGCAGCTTGTATATTTTGCAAGTTTATGCATGTAGAGTTTATCCTGCCAAAACATTTAAAATTAATTTGCAAATTACTGAAATACAAGTACTCAACTGTTTTATGCTGTGTCATACATGAAGGGAGTATTTGGCAGTTATTTAGTAATTTAAATTTGGGGGAGTAAAAGCAGGGGGATTTCAGCTAAAATTAATTTGCTCTAACATTTTACTTTTCACTGTTTTATATTAGAAATTTGTTGCATATTGCTGTAACATTTTTTTCAGCCACGCTTCACCTTTAAAAGTCATATCTCAGCAGATTGCTTATTTCTCTGTCTTACAAGTTAAATTGAATTTTTAAAAAAATCTATAGTTTGTGATGTCATAGGATATAAATTAAGACAATGAAAAGCTTAGCATAATGCATCATTTTTAATGATGAGGAGTATTGAATGGAGACAAGCTGTGCAGTGTGCATATCTTATACTGAGAAAATTCACAAGGCTTTTTGACATCAGTTTTGAAATGAGTTGTGGGCTCAGCTCCAGCACTGTTCTGAGTGTAGCCTGTCCTACAGAACTTTCCATTGCCAATCTGCCACACACCACGTGCCTGCATTTCACTTAAGATTTCTGATTTGAGTAACTGGGTCTATACATAGTTTGAATTGCATATTTAACAGAATTTACTTACTGTTGCTTCTGGGAATTTTTTGTTCTCTTTTAAAATTAATGCAGCTGTATTTATTATAGGGTAGTTTGATATGTATCAGTTTGAAATCAATTTTAAGTTGTATTTCAATGTCTCATATCATGTTTCTGAAGTTGGTAATTGATATGGAAATTAAAGTCTTGACCAAGTCTGAGGATTTGCAGTTTTGGGAGGAAATACTAGGTAAAACAGCATAATCATCAGTTTTATACACATGTAGGGGAAGGGAATTTTTTTAAGTTAAAAAATTTTTTTTGTACTCTCGAAGAGCTGACACCTATGTAACTAACATATTGCAATAAGGTTTATACAGAAAGAAAGGACACACGTTTATTTTACTGTATTTCTATCAAAGGTTTGTTTACAAAAGGAAAAAAAAGACCTGTCTACTGCATTAAGATGGATGTGATGAAGTGCTAGTTGCAGCAGAAGCAGGCAGGGCTGGGCTTGCAAGCCTCTATCAGAAGAATTGCTAGCATGCACAAGCTGGGCTGCTTGTCCGCTTCAAGCTGGATCACTTTCTGGTGATAGCAGAGGTCCTGCAGCCACCCATTTGCTGGTTACTAAAAATAGTCGTGCTGGAGTAAGGAGAGTGCAGCAGCACAGCACCGGAAAACCTCTGCAACCCTCCAAAATCTAAGATTTAACAAGTAAATGGTTAAATCAAAACACACCATCTCTCTGTGGTAGGCAGAGTTACAGGCCAGCTCATCTCCTGACTCTGGCTTGGGCAGCATTCTGCAGAGGTCACTCATTGGGGCTTTTGGGGAAGAGGGTGGCTTAGCACAGGTAAAAAAAGCTTTTGGTAGGAAGTATTTTATTTGCTTCTCTTGTTTTTCCTATGGGGGAAATATTAACTGAAGTGTCTTAGGGGAGTACGAGGAGTCAGTCAATGGCCAGACAGAAACTTCAGAGTATTACTGTGAAATAGAAATCCTCAGATTGAGGCCCCTATGAAGAGTGAAAAAGAGTGATTTTATTATTGACAGATGAAGTCCATCTTGATTTGTCTTCCCCATAGGTGTGAAGTGGCCCTTCAGAGGATGAAAGGTGGTTCGAACTCTGATTAGCTGAGGTTTGGAGATTTCCTGAATGTAACATTACATGTTTTGCCAAATGATATGGCCACAAATCCTCAGGCTTTGTCTAAAATTCTAACTCGACTCAAAGAAGAAAAAAAGAATACCACATAATAACATAATTTACACAGACTATTTCATGTGACAATGTTTTGTTTTTGCTAGCTACTGTTTTTTCTCAATTTTATTTTTTAACAGTAGATCTGTAGTTTAAGCTGTATTTCAGATGTGTCTTTTCTTCAGTATTTATGTACAAAACACCACTAAGAATAAGAGAAGAAATGCAGATTTTTCTTTTTTTTTAGGCCTGCTTGTAGCATGCACAGAGAAGTGATGAATATGTTCACAATCCAAATGGAAAACTTTCAGTATTGTAGGTATCATTTGTCGTGAAAGAACTAGTAACTCAGCAAACCATTTGTGTAGGTAATTCATAAGACATATTCTCTTTGTGATCACAGCATTTCCCCCAATGGCAACAACTACTTTCATGTGAAACCAGTAGTAAGAACGTGTATTGATGTATTTTTAATTTCGTTTAATGTAATTGAACACCTGGAAGTAGACAGGACCATAATCATGTGAGCAGCCAGGTTTCCACAGAACCTCAATTTGCAAATGGCTACTACAGTTATTTAGTGTCTAATCCTTATTCGTGATCCTCAATTTAGTGGCCTGTGCCATTGTTAGGGTTGGTTTGACATCTGGCCAATATTCCTTACTGCTTACTATTAAGTACTTAGCATGCTTGCTGCTCTGTGTGAAATTAATATTTATTAACTTCCACAATGGTCTTGTGAGGTAGGGGTTGTACAGGAAAGTCAATGGCAGAAATTAGGGTAAGATACTAAACTGTATGTCTTCTAGATATTAATGAGAAAATCAGTAGGGTGATGACTAGTAGCAAATAAGATAGTTTAATTTGTAAGCATTGATAATAGCTCAGTCAACTGGGTTTCATTTGTAGAAGCACGGTATCACAGAGGGAGAAGTTGGTGGCTCAGTAGTAACTGTGCAAACAAGCTCCATCCTAGTGAACTTTTTGCCTTCCAGATCTGTGCTGTGTTTGTATTAGCCGGGTCTTTAAATACAGAATAAATGAACAAGAAAAATAACTCTCTGGCAAAAACTAAGATGAACACTTCATAAGGTGTTTAAGAAAAACAATCCTGATTTCCCTCCCTTCCCCCGCCTTCTCTGCCTTCACAGTCTCTGCTTTCTGCTCATGTCCAGCTAAGATAATATAGTAAATGTCTGAGCTCTTGCAAGTAAGGCTGTCACATTGATGTTTAACTGACTTTGAAACACTGCAGCTGTAAAGGGGAAATGAATTCTGTTCTCTGTCAAAGCCTGTAAAAGAGTGTTTGTTTTAGCAGCTACTGAAGATGGAAGTGTTTATTCCATGACTGCATCGGTTGTCAAAACTGGATATATTTTCCTGTATTAATAATATTTGGAATTTTTCATTAGTTATCATTTCCTGTTGGTTCTTGAAAGGAGTATTGAGATGCTGATCACTGTCTCAATCTTTTCAGCTCTTCTGAATCTTTTCAGCATTTGAATGGAAATCATGGAATTCCTTTAGATGGGGGTGTATGTGTGTACAGGAATGTGTGATTGTGTATTATATAAAACTTTTAAAGCATTTGCAAATGTCTGATACGTTTTGATCCCAAAAGGCAATAGCTTTCTGTGCAAGAGACAGAGGGGCAGCTCTTCGGTTTGTCAGGTGATGGAAGACTGTACTGAATATGCATGAAACGCAACTTACTACTCATCCTCTTGTTTTTTCAAATGACTTCTGTCACAGACTTTTGCTCCTGATACATAGTGTTCTCTTGATATGAAAAGACTGACCAGAATCTGGATGCTTACTGTTACTGCAGCATATGTTGTGCTGTGTAATTTATTTCAAAAGTAGCTTATCGCACGCACTTACAAATCCTAGCCATTCAACACAAACTAAATCCTTCTGAAGTGTTTCTGGTGCATTGTTGCTATAGCGAGGGGGGAAAAAAGGTGAGGTAATGGAGTTGGAGTATTTTTGGTTTGTTTGGCTATTTGAGACAGATCATCTAGAGCTGAAACTTAATTAAGTATAAAGGTTTGAAACTGGAAACAATAGCCATGTTAAGTAAGCCTGTCACGATCTTGGCATCGTTAGAAGAGAGAGCAAGCAGTGAGGGAAGCTGGATTTGTGCTGGTGTTGCTTCCAATGGTATGTAACTTACTAATTACCTTTGCTGTGAAATGGCTGGTAAAAAGCCAAAATACTGCTTCCCTAGTTCCCTAGGATCCTTGTTTTGAGAGGATTATACTTCCTAGTGTTTTTACAAGAATTACATGGATGCCAGAATGTTTCCCAAGCTTCTCTTTGATGATTGGTACAATGTAACAGCAAAAGCTTACCAAAAATTACTGAGGAAGTGAGCAGAAGAGATAAAAAGGTGTGAGAATAAATGAATCTGATAGTTGTGTATTTATGTATCTTCCCTACCTTTGTCCTTTTTAGTCTGGTTTCTGAAGGAAGTGAAACCCATGTGATCATGACTGAGATAAAACATGTTTATGTGCGTTTGTGGGATAATGTGTGTGTGTTTGCCCTTTTCTTCCACTGCCCCAAAGGAACTGTGCTTCTACAGGGTATAAGAAATAACGTCATCAGGTATATGACTGTCATCCTGTTAGTGAAAGAAGGACCTTACCTGTTGACAGCCCTCGTGTGGCATCAGGAAAATCATTATGGGAGAGCAAAATTATGGATGGCTGAGGGCACAAAGTCGGTCAAGTGCATGTCTGTCAAGCTAAATTTCCATGCTCCTTACTCTCCGCTTGTCAGCTGGGATTGAAACACCTTTTCATGCAGCAGAGTGATCATGAGGTTTAAGACTTTTTATATTAAAAATCAGAAAATAAGTTATAGGAAGGCACTGTCTTATGTGCTTCAAAATCTGTTAAAAAAACCCATGTACAATATTAATATAATCTTCTGAAATGTGTATGGGTATTTAAAATTTACAGCTCCCTTTCTTTAGAGAAAAGTGTGAAAAACTCCATACACTGAGAAATTCAGGTTAAATATGCAAATTATAGATACTTTAATTGTAAAAAATTAAAATTATTACTGATAGTTGTAGTTTCGTTTTTCATCTATTAATTAGCCATAATGTCATGTCTTAATATCCTTTTTCTTTTTCCTCAGTCTCTTGATTTTCAAAGTAGAGGCAGAAAGAAAATGCACGGTGTTCTCTGGCAGTGAATCAGTACAGGCCTTCATTTGTCCTTCCCCACTTCTAACATAATGATTTTGACTGTCAGTGGTGCAAGTTGTTTGTTTCAGCCTCAGATAATCAATCTGATTAAATATCTTGGTGGTATTTGATATTATACAGAAAGCATTTGAAGTGGCAGTAATATTTCACTGAGCTACTGCCCATGTGGAAAGCTTCGTTTTAATAGTTTTGGTGATAACAAAAACTAACTGAAAAGAGTGAGGTGTATGTATGTATATATATCTTTTGCCACAAGTGATTGGAGACTTACACCACTATGAGAACTTGTGTTATGTGCTTAATTGCTGTTTGGATGAGTGAAAGCAGTGAGATTTATGCAGTTAGTCTATACTAAGTGTTACTCAGTAACATGATTGAGGGGAAAAGTTCTTTGACTGGTAGCATGGTAGAGGCAAGTGTCACAAACCCAAGCTGTCACTGGCCAGTTTTATGTACGTCAGATTTCTCTGTGGTAGAAGATGCCCTTGGTCAGGTGTGGTACTCCTGGTGAGGCCAGCTGTACTTCAGCCAGATTTAACCTAGGCTTCATTATTTCTCAATTTCAGTGGTTGGAAGACTTTGCTTGAACTTACCTTATAAAATGACAGCTAATAAAATATTCTTACTGAGATTTTCCTTAGGAAAGCCCATCACTTCACAGTTTCCACTGGGACTCACCAAGTCCAGTGCCTGCTGCAGTGTCTTTGAAAGCCAAGAGTCATCGTTTTATCCCTTAAGTCTCACCTGTCTTCCCTTCTGTCTTGAAAGTCAGTTTCAGAGAGACTAAAACTTTTCTACTTTATAACATCAAGGCAGAAATTAACTTTGCAAATTAAAAGGATCCTAACAACTGAGCTAAATAAACTTAGTTTCTAGTGAAAACTTCCTTCTTTCACCTTCCTCAGTATTTAAATAAAATGTCATGGTGTGCCTGGTATGTGAATAAATGCAGACCTGATTTAGCTTCCTGACTACACCAGAAAAAAATTCAGGCATACTTTTTAAGGAATGGTTATTTAAAAGTTTTGTGTTTTTGTTGCAACATGATTATATATTTAACAGGAAGCTAGGTTGGAGTCTTTATGACTAACTCTTATTGCTACTGCTCCTTTGGTTTCTAGGAGATGATGACTATAATGATATATAAAATCTTCAGATAGGTAGCATAATCTTGGACGATTTTCTTTCTTGTCCCGTGATACAAATAATTGCTCTCAATCATTATTTTACAAAGAAACAAATTAAGTTCAAAACCTGTATCAGTATAATATTTTCATTTTCCTTCCAACTTCTTGCTAGTCTGTATGGACTATAAGAAGATGGTGATGGGACCACATCCCGAGGTTTTAGTGCTTCATGTGCTCAAGTACAAAGTGTAACTGGAACTCTTGTTTGATGTAGAGGAAAAGCATTGTTTTTTAAAAATCAGCAAGATATACCAAAATAATTAACTCCTTGAGAAGGAATCAAGCAGGCAATTACTGGGAGGAATTTTTTCCCCTCCTCTTGCATATGTTTTTAAAATACTTATTGACAAAGGTAAGTATATAATGAATAGCAAGCATTCCTTGACCCCATGTCATTTGCTGCTTAGGAACAGTATTTACCTACAATAGCTGTAAAGGCTTACATGAATAATAACTCATGCAATAATTCCAGGTAAGTCTTTCAAAAAGCCTTGTGTGGAAAAGAAATAATTTGGGACACAGTTTCATTTGAGATTCAGAAGCATTAAGCATGAATATTTTTCTGTGGACCACCAGCCCTGTTCAATTACTTTGGTAGCAATGCAGATGCATGCATTTTATGATTGTTCTTTAAAATACCAGGAATGTTGCTGTCAGTGTGCCTTTTACCATCGTATATTACCATGATTTGACAGCTGACAAAACAAGCATGTGAAGGCTGACATTTGTGCCAGATGTCTTTCATTATATATTTTTACAGGCTTAATTTTTCATGTATGCACTTTATATTGGCAGCTTTAATATATTTTGCAGATGAAGCTTAATTGTTTTCCTTTTGTGCACATTTATATTTTAGTAGATTAAAATTTTACCACAAAATGTACTTGTAATTTAAATTGCTGTGCAGAAAGTAAAAGCTTACTGTAAAACATGACCTGAAAAGGTTCAACCATTCTTCAGACTTTAGAAAAAAGAGTAGAAAGTACCTTATTCTGATAGAGAAGCCTTTGACCACCTGAAGAACTTAACACTCCATATTTCTTTTTATTGCCTATTGGTGGCCCTGGAGAAATGCACATGATTCTGCTTTAAGGAGCAGAATTCTGTTATCCGTAATCAAGTGTGTAATTTAAATTTTTTCACTGATTTAGCTAGATTCTGTTAATATATGTAATAATAATAATAATAATCTTTGACAAACAGGTGAAGTACCTTTGACACCTTGTTTACTAATGTGTTTGGAAGGTGCCTCATAAGAAGGAACTAAATGCAATGGAGTCCTTTGGTGATCCCATAGCTCATGCTATACATTCACATCAACTCAGCCCCTTTTCAGAAGAGTATCTTAGGAAATGGTAGTAGAGGGTAAGAAACATTATTTAATGCTTTAACAAGTGTCAGAAGTTGAGTAGAATTCAGTCCGATTTTTATTTTCTTTTTCCCAAAGGTAGTGAGACATCTGATAAATGCTTGTTAGATATGAGGATGACATTATGGTGTTGGACATTTTTTTACTAACTGTGTTGATGAAAGGGAGATTCTGAAATAAGGACTAGTCACTACTGTGGCATCTTCCTGTGCTGACACGAGTTCAACTTGTAAAATTGCCAACTTGCCCAAGCCAGATAATGGTTTTAAATACCTGTAGTAAGCACCAGGACTGTTCAGTGCATTGTCTCAAGGTGATCCTCAGTCACACTCAAAGGCTCATCATGAATCTTATTCTAACAGCACTCTCTTAAGAATGTACTTGCAAAGGAAATGGTTTTGGTTAGTTCTTTGATGACCTCTGCCTGTTAGAAAATGAATGCTGCTAACCTGGAGTTGTGCTGTCTGTAGTTGCAGCAGTGACCCCTTTTCCTCACTCCCATGTGGTGGCAAGATAAATGAAAAGGAACAGAAACTGGATGCCTTTGCTTTTGCCCTAATACATTTATGATCCTCTTCCAAATGAGATTTGATTCTGGAGAAGACAAAATGGTGGGAAAAAGACTTGTGGTTACAGCAATAAAATGGTGAGACTATCCACTAAAGTCTGCTGAAATTGATGGAATAAAATTTAATGGGTATTTTTATAACAATAAATGTAACTGTTGACTCCATTTATTTCATTTTACATAATGTCCCACTCACATACGTACTTATTTTGCTCCACTGTACTTTACAAGACTCTGTCTTAGCACCTAATGTTGTTGCTGTAATCCTGTCCTTGCTTGTCTCACCTCCCTTAAGAGCTTTCAGATAATGGTTTAAAATATTAACACTTCTTTTGAAAAAATATTTTTCCTCAGCTTTCCAAATGAACACCACTTTGAATTGTTCTTATGATCATTTTCATTTTTCTGCATTTGAGAAACCAAAATGGAGTGCTGTCATCCTTTGTTTCCCTTTGGTAACAGAAACCATAAAAATGAATAGGACCTAATTTGTGCCAGCAAAACTGGTAATGTTATCTGCATACATTTGAACACCGTTCAGAATTCTAGTCTTATGAGAATCTTCTCTCATCTCCCTTTCCTAAATGCAGAACTTTTGTGCATTTTAATATAACACAGTCATGGAGATAAATGAGAATTTTGAACTCCAGAAAGGCTTTAAAAACTTAAGATACTTGTTTATTCTACCCAAGTGATAAATGTTTTTGGCAAAGAGACTGTTATGGCATGTTAGTTCCTTTGTAAATATATTAATTTGTATATTTGACTACAGATACTATGATGGATATTTTTATAACCATATTTTAAGGACATGTTTTATTCTAAGATACTACAATTTCAAAGTACATTAATATCTGTTCTATTGTTTATATCAGTAATGACCAGGAAATTCTAAATTAAGACTGACACTTATTTTTCATGTGTAAGTGTATTCTAAGGTTTCTGTTTCCAGAACTCCTAAACTGAGAGCTGAAACAGTGATTTCAATGCCCATGAATTTGTGTTTGTTTTAGTATGGCATTGTTTCAACATAATTATGTGAATTAAGTATTTATATCCTTTCCATATATCTCAGGATTTGGTCAATAGAAGAAGTTAAAAGTCTAGCCTCTTGTGATTTCAGTAACCAAGTAAATAAATAAATTGTCATAAACTCTGGCAGAAGCCAAGAGATTGGGCTATTGCATCTAGTGCTGTTCTACAAATTAAATGAATGTTTAGTGCTCTCCCAAGTGTAATACACAAATGGATGTTACTGAAATATGCACTGTTATTATCAGGCAAAAGATTTAAGAGAAAAAAACCCTTAGAGTAACAATTCTACTTTTCACATAAATGCCTTTTATTCCTCTCCTCTACATGCTGCCTTCCTGTCCTTTTTCTATCTACTGGTGTTACATCACATGCGCACTTGGTTTTTAAAGGCTCTTGTGAAAGTATCACTCTATTACTTCCAGCTGAGTAAGTACTCAGTTGCACCTCATAAGCTTTCCAAGTCACGTCTTACAACAGTGACAACCCTGTTAGGAAAACAACTGATTTTTTAAAGCGCCGTTCCTGTTCTCGCGCACCGTGCCGGCGATGCTCGGAGCCGATTGCGGGCCTATCGATGAATGATGCTGCAGTAATTTCAATTATTCTATCCAGCGGTGATGTAGATGTTGATCTGTTTTCAGATACTAATCCCGTTCCTTAATATAGCAGTTGGCCACATGTGCGAGCTCGTCCTGTTAAGGAATGGCCTTCGGGGAAAATGAGTCCTGAAACATTTGGGCATGGAGTTAATGCATTTCCTAGCAACTATAAAGTTCAAGAAGAAATGGTGGACAATTTCAAAGGCAATGACAAAGTACCACTGGCCTATGTCACTGAAAAGCAAATAAAACAGTCTTTGTAAGACAGAGTATAAGATTATTTCCTCGATTTCATTTGGTAAAAACTGTCTTAAACTTTTAAACAAAATTCTTGGGCTATTCACGTGCTGTCAGTAGTGAAAAAAAAGTTGAAAGTGACATGCGAGGCGGTTTTTCTTCTAACGCAAATTCTGCTATTCAACCTTAATGTCAACAACTTTTGTCACCAGAAATGTAATATAACCAATAGCAGAGTAAAATCTCAGCCTAGCTACTTAAGGATGATTCCTTTCCTGTTGTAAATTAGTGAGGATCCTTGTGAAAGAGGCTTTCCACATCACTAGTGCTTTGGAGAGTGTCAGTGCAGGCATCAGCTGCCTTTCATTTGCCTTAGTCCATCTTGCTCTGAAAAGTTGTGCGTAAATAATTACCTGTCATCCCACTAATAGCCCAACAGAGTTGTAATAGGAAAACCATCTTTGAATGGCCTGTACACAAAAGGACAAGTAGTTTTTCTGTGCATTTGCTTGTATTTGAAATTACTTTTTGCTGGAGTTTTTCTTTGAGCTGTTGTTCTTCAGCTCTGTAATTTCAGAAGACTGTCATATGTAAAGTTCAAATCCTCATGGTAAACTACTCATACTCTTAAGTCCATTTTTAAACTTTTTTTTTTCTGAATTATGGGTTCTTGGTTTAGTTACCTATCTTTAGCCAAACAATTTTGTCTGATAGAGCCAAATTTCCCCCAGTAGGGGAAAGTATGTTTAATGTAAGATCCAAGGACACTTGTGAAGGATGTGTGTATGTGTTCAAAATGGAATTAAGAATAAATCATCTGGAGTCTTTTCTGTTTGACTTTTCTAAACTTATCCACTAAAAAAGTATTTTAGTGCATTTCCTCAATACTGTAATGTGTGGAAGCTTTGTACTTTTTTGTTCTACCTTGTTCTTAGCTTGCTTTTCATTGCATCTTTCATTTACTTTGGCTCCTATGAAATACGAGAGTCAGATTTCTAAGGTACAGCGTGTTGGAACAGGTTTTACTGCATCTCCTTTCTTTCCGTTTATGTGTTTGGGTACACACAGGTTTGAGAGTTATCTACCTTTGCTTGCCGATTAGAACATTTAATTTCTTTGCAGGGTTGAAAAGAAGATTTGCTTCTGTAGATCAATACAAATTTACCTATTTTGAGCTTAACTTGTATTTGTTACATGTTTTTGTGCTTTTGCTAGATATGACTAGCTTATTTTAAATTAACTTTTGGTCAGTAATCAACAATATTGAGAGGAGAAGACCTCAGGCAAACCCGGTATATATTCTAGCTCTTGGGGTGGCTAACATTGTCTGCTTACTGTCAGAAGCACTTCAGAACTATATCACCTTATTTTCACATAAAAACTGGGTTCATGTCTTGCTCTTGCTTAAAATTCCTTTCCTCCCTTCCTCCTCCCCCCCTTTTTTTTTAGTTACAATTTTTTTGTATGTGCTTGTAGAAAACCTTAATGAGACATCTTGATTTGAGAGGTCAGGGTACTATTCAACTTGGCTGTAGAAATGTGGATTTTAAGTTTTATGTGATAGGAAGAGTTTTCTTTGAATATAAGTTGTGGATATCCTAGTATTTATTCCTGATGGCATTTTGAACACATCAGCTATCATGAGAGTATGCTTGAGTGTTTTTTGAAGCATAGTTGAAGGAACGAATTCTAATTCTCCTCTAATATATATATGCAAGGCCTTTCTAGACCCAGTTATAGTCATTTGTGATATTTTTGTGTTCTGAGGGACTGCAAGGAGAAATGTTCTTAAAATGTGTTTGTATAGCTATTCTCTCATGATACTTGTACATGGTGTTTCGTAAAATCTCTCATTAGCTGCCTTAAGATAAGCCAGAAGAAAAAAAATCTGATAACAGTGTATTAGAAGTTTGCTATGTGTAGTTCGTTGTTTAGAGGACTCCTATATGTTTTACAGAAGCAAACCAAAATCATGCCATCTTTTTAATAAGAACGCTAATTTTGACAGTTGGAGCAGTTGCTGATATTGTTGAGGTTTCTAATATCTCTGTCATGCTGTCTAGCTTTATGTGAGCATTTTAGTTATTTTGGCTTAGTCATTTATGCCTTTTTTTTTTTTTTTAAACTGCTAAGGTTCCTAAAAACGGAGGCAGTAATAGTTTGTTCCTTGACACACTTTTGTGCTTTACTAGGACATAGAGAACTCTCTAGGGAATTTTACAAAACTTCTGTAATTATAACTATGCATCAATTTGTTCATGTAAGAAACCAGAAAGATACATGTTTGTTTCTGCAGCAGCATAAACTCAAAGGTTGCAGCAGGCAGTCCATGCTTAGTTCTCCAGGTTGTGCTGCTTGTGCAAAGGTATTGATCTTCAGCGTGTTTAGCAATCTTTGCTGGTTGCCCCTTTGTACATTTCAGGATTTGTCAGACATGGGATATGTTGCCCTGGAAAAGGGCTCATTTGACAGGAGGCTTCATGTTCTCCCCTTTGGGGCTTTTCCAAATATTATGAAGCTCAATTTAAGTTTTGCAGGAATGTTCAGGCAGTAATCTCAGTCTTAAGTTTTAACATATGTTGTATTAGTTGTTCAACATGTAAGAGGAGCCTGAATGTTTCAAGGTGTTTATTTGAAATCCTAGTTCACAAGGACACTTGTTTCAAGAACTGAAATGTGTTGCATTTGTGTGACAAGGGGTAGAAATTGATATGCTACCATATATATTTGTTTACTAATACCATAAATTAATGGAATCACAGTGATTATTTAGAATAATAACTAGTTGGAATAACACTTAGGGGAAAAAAAACTATTTTTTTTTTTTTTTTAAGTAATGAATTCTAAAACTGAGGGAGTGCTGACATGCCTTTTCACTGTATCATAGAGTAGAGAAACCTTGTTCTGTTTTTTTATTAAATTCTGTACAAATCCTGTGATTACTTGAATTACTGGATTATCTTTTAAACCTTTTTGACTGCACGGAAGTGATGCACTGACGTGGCACTTGCTGTGATTGTAGGAAACCCAGAAGATGATGCTTTGAGTGGTCAAGTGGAGCCTGCTGTGTGTTTTGTAGATAACAAAATTTAAAAGCACAGACCTTTAACTCCTCACTTATACCTGGTGTTTGTATGGTGCGTGTGTTACCTAGGGAAGTTGAGCTGGCAGAGGCAGAGTACACAGAGCAGCATTCCACAGAACTTGTGACTTTGTACCCAGAAAGTGTTTAGCAACCTGTAGAGGTTGTAACAGCAAACATTTTAACTAACTTTGAAAAAGTTGCCATTACAGGAAGAAAATAATAATTTAACCTTAAATAAACACTTTCCGAAACTTAAGGAAAAAAAAAACGTTTTACTTTGTGATTTTTTTTTCTGGGTAGGTTGTGAACATATTCAAAGGTTTTGCCTCTTCTTTAATGTAAGAGTTCATCTTAATGGATGATTGGTAGGACGATTTTATATATTAGAAACGGCAAAAAAGGATAGCTTAATATGTAGCTGAGTTAGGAAGAAAAATCCGATTTCGACAATACTGTGTAAATCTAACTGATCAGTAAAAAATGCAGTCTGGAGCACATACATACTAACTGCCTGTCTGAGGTGTGTGTCTTGGCAAAGTGTGCTGGCCTTTTATCAGGTGGACAAACTAAAAGGTAAACACAGTAGGTATCAGGAAGACTAAAAGCTCGGTTCTGGTGCAATATAGTATTACCAGGATGTAGTAATTATGAGGCCATAGGAAGTTTAATAGCAATAATGATAGTGAAATTGTTAGCAATTTGAAATGCCTTAAGTCCATCTGGAGGTGGGTGAGACTTTTGGAGCACCTTCCTTTTCTCCCATTATGGCTCTGTGAGTATCTTTGCATTCAGGTTGTCTTTTACCACTGATAGGTTTTGAATGTTGAGCACTAGTGGAATGTATTGTATTTTGGGTATTTTTGTTGAATTGTCTCTGAAGATGATGAGACCATTTAACATGGCGTTATCCGTCAGCTATGCATAAAATTAAGGTCTGCTACATACTCTGGAGTATATGTAGATCCATGCCACTTTGAAATGAGCCTTGTGTCTACCTGAAAGGCTGCTGTGCCAGCTTAGCCCAAAGATATGTGTTACCATACTGATTTAGGTGGGCAGAAATTGCTCTTGCACTTGGGCTCAAGCTAAGGGCTGGCTCAAGTTAAGAAATAACTTCCTACTTGCTTCCTGTGCTTGTATGTCATACAAAGGTAAATGAAAGATTGTCCAGTTCTGACAAATCTGTTATTTGTTGGTGTGGAGTTCTAGGGCTATTTAAGGGAAAAAGTAATGCTTCTGATTTGTTTGCCAAGGATAGTGAATTCTACTGTAGAATTTCAGTGAGTCGTTTAAACTATCAATTTAAACATTGAATAGAATGGTGTTTCCTAAGCAGTTATTGAAACAAAACATTGTCCGAGTGAGGTTCAAAAAACTTCTTTTAATTGGCGTAGAAAGCTAATTAAGGAGAGGGCCTTCAGGTCTTGAAAAACTCGTGAGAGTTTACATTTGCTTTTCAGATTTAAAAGGGGTTATATAATTGATTAGGATAAGCAGCCTCTACCTTAAAAAATGAACACAGCTCCAAAGACACCAATTTGCCAAAATAGCTTGGATATATTTAAAAACATTGAGTAACAACTAGTTTTTACTTGGGTTCTGTTTCTGTAGAACCTCTAATTTCTAATAATTATTGAATGTATGAAAGAAAAGGTTAAGGTTATTCGACTTCTTAAACGTATTGGGTTTTCTTTTTTGTTTTTACTCAAATTGAGCCAGGGTATTCCAGAACTTTTTAGCAATGGAACAGCTCTCCTCCTTCAGTATATTCAAGACCACGGTGCATTTCTAATGGAGACTTACAGGGAAAATGCCCTAAATAGAACCATGTGCCAGCCATGGCGTTTTGGATCACTCTTTGGAAACCTGCTGCTTTTTAATATTTACTTCTAAGCCTTTTGTATAATTCTTTTGGCCACTGCATGAACATGCATTTTAGTAGTGTTAATACTGTAAAAATCATAACACTGACTGTCATGATTTTCTTCTTAGATAAATCTCCTACTATTACAACATTTTTCCAGCTTTTTAGCGTTTGGTCTGCTGTATTGGAAGATGTGTAAGTTTTTACACTTGAGTAACTGTACATGTGGAATCACTTAAAAATGAGAATAAATACATTTCCACATATGGACTTTTCATGAGCCCTGATTTTCAAAGCAGCAATTAAATACATTCTTCTCATTACTATTTTTTTCTTTCTTTTTATTTTTTCTTTCTTTTTTTCTTTTTTTTTTTTTTTTAAGAAAACATTTGCATAGCATATAAGCATATAATAAAGTAACATTTACCTTATTAAATAGGGTTATCTCCTCGGCTGGAAATTAGATGTGCTAATTTTCTTTTTCCTCAGTTTAGCACCTATAACATGTTAGCAAGTCCAGCTTTTGTAACTGATCACTATGGACACATCAACTTGAAGATTATCAAAGTACAGTTGCAGAACTGCAGACAGTAACAGAAAAAGGTTAATATGGTTAAATTTATTATTGTGTTCAGGCTGAAAAGGTGTAGAGTGAAGTCTGAGTTGCTTGTGTACTAAGAGTTTTCAGGTTTTGGTTCATAGTTTCTTACATGTAATTCAGAGAGTGGTGGTGAATGGTGCTGCATCCAGCTGGGGATCAGTCACCAGTGGTGTTCCTCAGGGGTCTGTGCTGGGGCCAGTTCTGTTCAATATTTTTATTGATGACATGGATGAGGGTATGGAGTCTTTCGTTATCAGATTTGCAGATGACACTAAGCTGGAAGCATATGTCGATCTGTTAGAAGATAGGAGGGCTCTGCAGAGAGACTTTGAATGGTTGGATGAATGGGAAGAGTCCATTGGAATGAAGTTTAACAAGTCCAAGTGCCAAGTCCTGCATTTTGGCCACAATAACCCCCTGCAGTGCTATAGGCTGGGGATGGTGTGGCTGGGCAGTGCCCAGGCAGAAAGGGACCTGAGGGTGCTGTTCAGCCAGCTGAACATGAGCCAGCAGTGTGCCCTGGTGGCCAAGAAAGCCAGTGGCATCCTGGCCTGTATCAGGAGCAATGTGGCCAGCAGGAGCAGGGAGGTCATTCTCCCCCTGTACTCAGCACTGGTGAGGGCACACCCTGAGTGCTGTGTCCAGTTCTGTCCCCTCAGTTTAGGAAGGACCTTGAGATGCTGGAGCGCGTCCAGAGGAGGCAACAAAGCTGGAGAGGGGCTTGGAACACAAACCCAATGAAGAATGGCTGGGGTAGCTGGGGTTGTTCAGCCTGGAGAAAAGGAGACTCAAAGGTGACCTTATCACTCTCTACAACTTCCTGAAAGGTGTTTGTAGTCAGGTGGGGGTTGGTCTTTTCTCTCAGGCAACAACTGACAGAAGGAGAGGGCACAGTCTTAAGCTGTGCCAACGGAAGTGTAGGCTGGATATTAGGAGGAAGTTTTTATGGAAAGAGTGGTAAAATACTGGAATTGGCTGCCTGGAGAGGTGGTGGAGTCACCATCCGTGGATGTGTTTAAAAAAAGACTGGATGTAGCACTTGGATTAGTTGAGGTGTTAGGGCGTGGGTTGGACTCAATGGAGACCCTGAAGGTCTCTTCCAACCTAGTGATTCTGTGTGATTAGAAATACTTGTAAATAGCATCATTTTTTCAGTCTAACTGTAGTTCTATTTCTGTGACATTAGCAGACCTCTTGAATCTAGTGGCTTTTGGCTTTGATTTTTAAAGGCAATTTCTCGTTATGTAATTATTTCATTGTGTTAATGTTTGAGTTGAAACCTGGTATGCTGGGTGTATGCCCAGATTGCCCAGGGTAGCTGTTCGTGCAAAATACCAGATGTGCACAGCTGCCCAGGGCTGGTGTGTGTGCTTTGCCCTCCAGCAAAGGTACAGAAGCATCAGCTGTACTGTTGTCACATATAGCTCCTCTTTACCTGAAGGTAGTTAGGGGCCACTTTTAGTGGGAAGTTCTAGTTAAGGTCTCTGTATTTTACCATGATGTAAGTCATTAATTGTTTGCTTTGTATTTTATTTGTTGGTACCAAGGTCTGTGTAAGATGGCAGTCAGTAGGTGCTTAGCCCAAGAATGACCATATGTAAATTTGGCCCTACAGACTCCTGTCTACTGGGCACCCATCTTGTGATCTGCTTTAGCTGTGTGTGTTTCCTGTGCCAAGTGAGTGCTGGGCTGCTAAAGTTCTTGATGTTGAGTGTGTGCTGGAGGGTCCTCTCTGTGACTGCCTCTTCGTTTTTTATTTCATTATCAGGAGAGCAGACAGGTCCTGTCTTGTTGGTGGCCTAGGGGCAGCCCTTGAGAAGCAGGGTAGTTAAAACCAAAGTATTTGGTCTTTGAAATGCCTCTTGGATGATAGTTATGCATGCAGAGGGCCTGTTTTCTAGCATTCCATTCCTCCTCATTTCTAAACTCTCAGTGGAGATTTAAGGGAATTCTGTGAGGCTTTCTGAGAAGTATGCAATATTTGTCTAAAACGATTCCTAGTGGAAAAGTTAATGAAGTTCTGGTGTGACTCTGAGGTGCTGTCTCAGGACCAGAGTCCTGCTTTAAAGTTGCCTCTGTTACGTGTTGTGGCTGCAGGAGCCAGCTCCAGGAGAAGGTGATCTGTTGATTGAAAGAAACTTCATGCTGTGGAGAACTACTCTGACCCACTTCATCCATCTGTCTAGGCTAGTGGTTACTCCTCTCTCTGGAACAGGAAAAGATCAAAGGTGCCCAGGTGTGGCTCAGCATTACTTTCTGTACAGAGCTGGCTAAACAAGGGGATCAGAGAATTCATGAGGGTTTCTCTAAGCAGGCACACCTCCTGTGTCAAAGTTACATCAGTTCTGTGAGGTTGTTACGGATTACATACCTGGAGGATTATATATCTTATAGTCAGGTCTTCATCCGTCATCTTTGGGTGAATCAAAGTATGACTGTTTATGTGATGTTAATGTTGACATGCTGGTACTTCTTGGTAAAGATGTTGTTTTCTTCTGAGACTGCCTGGTGTCTGATACAGGTCTGAAATCTTCCTCCAGTGTAGTTTTGCCCACCATGTCTGTCTAGTCTCTGTAGTATTAAAAAAGTGCTACTTTTTCTCCTTAGTGGATTTCTTCCTTTACTTTGGTATCTCTTCAAGAAATTTCCTTGTTAAAGATTATTTACTCTGGGAGGTCTTTCTTTAAAAATTGTAGAAGTTTCTTTGAACACTGTTCACGCCATATGGAACCACCGAGCTCTAGCCTGTAGATTATATGAATATAGAGTTGGGAAGTTTTTCTTGGAGAGTCTGGTGACTGTGCTCAGCAAAGCATTTTTCTTTCAGGTGTCTTTGAGGCATATACAATCCCAAAGTTGGACCAATCTTTCATAGTTCAAGCTATAGCAGGATATGAACGTCCAAATAGCGTTTGATGGACTCATCATAAATAAAAAAAAACTTACTTAGACTTTGGTTGTTGCATTTAGAAGTTGTGGAGTCTCCATCCGTGGAGATTCTCAAGGCCTATTTGAACCATGTCCTGTGCAGCCTGCTGCAGCTGACCCTGCTTTGAGCACTGGTTTGGACTGGATGATCTACAGAGGTCCCTTCTAACCTCAGCCATTCTGTGTTTCCAGTGTCACTGTGTCTCCAGTGTAGTTTCCCCAATTTGGGGAGGAGGGTGGGATGGCAGGGATCGCTCCATGCAAGTTGAAACAATAAGAAGAAAATTTCATATAGTACTGGCCTCTCTTTGAGATTATCTCTCTGATTGTGCAAAAACTACAGCCCTAAACCTTCCTGAAATAGGATCAATTGAACCTG